GGCGACGGGCGCACCCTCGCTAGCGGCGGCGCCACATGCACCAGCATCGGAGGTAGGAAGCGCAGCGCCGCCAACCATTCTGTGCAAGGCTGCTCGCCGAGCCGCGGCGGCGCGATTCCAAAACCAGAGTAAAGGAAGGGTAAGACAAGCGCCCAAGAACGAACCCACAAAGCAAAGAAAGAAAATCGCAATAAGAAAATCGTACCTGAGAGTTCGACCGGATTTATATAGACGTCGGCGGCGACAAAGCCTGATCGCGCACAGAGAAAAGAGGGAGGAAGAAGACGAGGATTTTCCCAAACTAGAAAGAGGGTTGGTGATTCGAACTTCTTCTCCCCAAGCACTTATAGCGAAAAAATAGAAACCACAAAGTCCCGATGCGACAGCCTCGGGCCCCACAAAATCCCGAGGTGACGTTCCGCCTCTCCGTGTCAGGGTGACGTTCCCCCTTCCGGTGTCAGGGCTCCGCGCCCGAGACACGACAAGTGGCAAAGCAAGAGCAGGCCAAGGGAACCGCTCCGGATTACCCCTAAGGCGCTCGTCGCTTCATATTCCCGCGACTAGGGGCAACAGGGCAGAGCACGGGAAAGGACCGCAAGCCGCCTCGCAGGTCCACTAAAACAAGGCAGAGCACGGGAAAGGACCGCAAGCCACCTCGCAGGTTTACTAAGGGCTTAGTGGACCGTACCCGCCCAATGATCACAAAGCGAGTCAGTTAGACGCGAAAACCTAAAGCTTCTCCCGCCTAAGGGGCAAATGTTGGGTCACACATTGATCCACACGGCCCATAAGCCCAAAAGGGCACTCAAAGCCCACACAAGAGCAAGCAAGGCCCAAAAGCGAAGGCGGTCCGACGACGCTAACACTGAAAGGACCGCCCGACACGTAATGACCCGACACTGATGAACCGCCCGACACTCTGGATCCCACGAACGGACTCTGACAAGGCACACGGAGGAACCCAGAGGCGGTCTCGGGCCCCAACGCCAAGAGACCGCCCGACATTCTGGATCCTACGTACGGACTCTGACAAGGGGCGCGGAGAAATCCAGAGGCGTCCTGGAGCGTCTGACACAACATTAAATGCTCGAAGCCCGGTCGAGACTAGTATAAATACCCCTCATAGGATCACATTGATGGTAACTTCTACCAACTCCATTCTCTCTCTTATTTACTTTCTCCTCACTTCTCTCTCTAACTTAAGCATCGGAGGAGGTCCCAGGAACCCCCTGAGGACCTTTCTGCAGGGTTTCGAAGACCGCCCCCGACCATCGAAGCCGCCCAAGGCCAGTGGAGTCTCACAAACCGCTTGGTACATTCCAGGCACAAACAGTTGCTGTCATGTCCGAACAGATTATCGCATCTGGCTCCAATGAATCGCAAGAAACTGTCGCTGTCCAGAACCATCTCGCTAGCCACGATTACAACCACCGCGAGAAGAACAAGGAGATTGAGGAATTACCTCTGATCCGAGAGATCCCTGTAGGAACTCCGCTAGCCGATAATTTCCAGGACGGGAATTTTGTTCAATCTCCGAGAGCGGAGGCGATTCCCCGGATGCGGAGACGGGGAAGGAGGTGGTGTTCGGTCCATGATTTACGAAGAGAGAGCGCCCAGATTAGAACATATGCCTATTACATCCCCAAAGCTATTTGCGTATTAGCAGCCGCCCAATTCTTTTCCTTTTGGGATCGTAATTAGGAAACAGCACGACACAATTTGATTCACCGGTGAGCAGGAGAGCGGCGACCCGAGCAAGATGAAGCTGGGTCACCAAAAGGTTTTGGGCGGTGCTTAGGTGAAATTGGTGGTGATTAATTAATCTACAAGTTTTGGGGGACCAAGTTCAAAAGAGAAGGTGGAGTCAATGGATATTGACTTCTCTACCAACCAATTGGGGTTTTTCTTTATTTACTTGGAGCCCTAAAAATACATGTCGCCTCCACTACCTGGGCGGGACGGCTGGACTGCTCACTGCGGACAAGATTGATAAAAGTTGAACTCCATTGTTCTGCCAAATGGAGTCTCCCGAATGATGATCACGAATTGGATGATCATGGATTCATGGTAAAGAACCGGTTTGTTGCCTGAAGTTGAACCTCGAGGGCACTATGGAGAGAAGAAGGGCTAGAAAGTTGAACTAAGGAAGCTTGTGTGCTGCTAGCTATTCGGTGCAAAATTAAAAGGCCATGACTTCTTGAGAGGATCGTACTCCGGGGAGCTATGCGTGGGCTAGTTATTTTGTGCGAAATCAGAAGACAATGACTTTTCGCGGTAAGAACTGAAACCTTACTTATGAGTCATTTATTAATGACAAATTAGAATCTACCATATGCATGGCATTGAGAATCATTATGAATGCTAGAAATGAAAATCTAGAATTGATGCATGTTGACATTGAGATTTATTAGAAATTGAATACATGTTGTGGAGTAGAATGATTTTGTCAAAATGCATATATATGAAGAATATATGGGAATAGAATGGGTTTATTGCCCATAATAACGATATTGTAAGAAGTACTATTATTAGTACTACACGAACCACTTAGGCTGCTCTGAAACATTAAAGTTTCAAGAATGAGAACAGCAAGCCGAACCAGACAGGGGCGGATACATGGACCTCTAGGGGTGTCCCGGGACACCCCTAAAATTTGGGAAAACGATTGTCCAACCTTCGGTAATAATTTCGTATGGGTATACAAAATATAATTGGTGATTCGGGACACCCTAACATTTGAAAAAATGATTATCCTACCCTCGATAATAGTTTGCTTATGATTAACAAAATATAAGTGGTAGTCCGTGTTATTCCAACATAGGACACTACTATTATCAAACATATTCTAATTATGTTGCTACTCATTTTTTATTCTATTTTAAACATCATGCAACAGTAAAACGCTATTTCTTTATCCCCAACTATTTTCAATACCTAATAATTAAACTACGTACACGTTACCCTTAATTTTGAATTGATTTTATGGTTACACGGCAAGTGTTGAGAGAGTCTTTTTTACTTTGAGCTACATTAAGAACAAGTTTAGAAATCAAATATGTGATAAGTTCGTGAAGTATTGTCTAGTAGGATATGTAGATTTTTTTGAACAGTGCAGACACGGAGTTTATTTTATATTATTTTTTCAAAATATGAAAACACATCATGAATTTTAATAAAAAAATTTATACACGTATGATATTTTTAATATATGAATTATTTAATTTATTATTTAATTAAATTTAACTTTTGAAGAGGACACCCCTGTGAAAATTTTCTGAATCCTCCACTGGAACCAGACTCATAACAAATAGAATGGTACCCTTTGTGGTAACCATAAGATTGTCACCCAATCCTCTAAGAATGACGTTATGTTTCTCTGTTAAATTTGTGAGAAACTAGGTCATATAAGACAAGAAAGTGTAAGAACAAGTTTAACTTAGTGTTAACTTGACTAAAGAAGAGGATTTGGTAATAATATTCATTGAGGTGATGACAGAGGTTAGTCTTAATGGTAACTCTGAAGAATGGTTGTTGGATAGGACCGCTTCAAGATATGTTTGTGATAAACGAGCTAAGCTCAATCATACATTGACGCGTATTGAAGGAGAAAGTGTTGTTGGGCAAGACCCTCGCCACAATTGTTGATGGTTCTGGAAAAGTGGAAGAGAACCCTGCCTCTAGAAAGTCATTGACTATCCTAGATGTAAGGAATGGTTAAGTAGATAAGATAAATTCTTCCAAGTGTGTATGTGTGAAGAATTAGAATATCTTATATCGCATTCCCATATTATTATTGGATGCTTGAGAAAATATGAATTTTCTATATCCAAGCTAAATGACCCATAAATATGTAATTAGAGAATCAGAATAAATAGATCTGATTTATGTGGGTAAACTTGATGGAAAAGACAAAAAAAACAATTTATTGCTCTTTAGAGTGCTCTGATTGTCTGACTAGTTATTTAAAATGGTTTGAAATGCCTAATTGCATTATGATTGCACTGATTATTCGATATGTGGCATGCATGTGGTAGCGTTAGAAAATCAGTGTAGCATGATAACTAGAAGAGCATATGAGTGTGTTTTATGTTGTTAACAAAAAACACATAGTTCCTATGAAACGAAATACTCATGTTGTTGTGAAATCCGTTAATGCCAAGAAACTTCCATTTTAAATCAAGAAATAGTGGGGGTAGTGTCCTGCCTACTATTAGAAATAATGGAACTAGTGGGGGTAATAAATCTGAGTTTAAACTCATAATGAACCATAAATCACGACAGGATTTTGGTTATGAATTTGTTATTTACACCCTACGAAAGAAAGATCCTACAAGTCTACTAGAAGTTAGAACTTCCATAAAGATGCAGAATTGTGGGAGAATCCATTATTAACGAAATGGAATTATTGGAGTCTAGTAAGACTTAAAATCTTGTAGAGTTACCTCTTGGTTGAAAAGCCTTGGGTAATATATCGACAGAATCGAACAAGATTTGGCATCTTTGAGAATTACCTCTTGGCAATGAAGTCATGGGTAATAAATGGATTCTTAAAAGAAAAACTGAAACCTGATGGTTTAGTTTATGAGTATACGGATCGCTTAATAGCTAAAGATTTAAGCGAAGAGGAAAAATTGTAGATTTCTTTGATATCTACTCACTAATATGGGGTTAATTGCATGGTTGGTCACTGAGATTACCAAAAACGTTCATGTTTGGTCACTAGAAATATTTAAATCCACATTTGGTCACTAACTTTACAAAACCCGTTCACTTATGGTCACTCTCCGTTAGCTGCCGTCCAACGCCGTTAACGGCGTCCGTTAAGTGATGACGTGGCTGACGGATTCGCCTAATCAGCACCTTTTGACCCTAAAATTGACTGACCCGACCCGCCACGTCATTTAAACCCTCCATGTCAGCTAAACCTAACCAAACCTCTAGCCAAACCAGACCCGACCCAACCCACCAACAGAAACGACCCACCCGCCACTAAACAAAACCTAATTTCTAAAACTCTTCAGGCCGCTTCTCCATCCCGCGCCTGGGAACATTCTGTACTCTCTCTCGGCATTGAAATCCAGAGTTCTCAGATCGCAGGCGGACGTGTCGTTCCTCTGGCAGTTCTCCATCATAGCGAAAATGGCTTCCTCGACCGATTTCCTGCTCTCGTCCTCATCTTTTGCCAAATCCCAGTACCCATTTAGCCCTTCCCGCAGAAAAGAACCCACGCTGAGGTTAGAAGCGGCAGCACTAGCTGCGTCGACGCCGACTTCGGCGCCCTTTATTAGGATCTGGGCAATTTCGCTGTCTCCGGTGAGATTAATGTTGGGGGTGAAGAGTACGTTGTAAATGGAACCTGGGTATGAGAGACGGTTGTTCCACAGTTTGCAGACGCAGCGGAATCTAGCGATGCAGGAGCCGGATGGAAGGTTCATTAAGATCTCGATCACGACATCGTCCGGTAGAAAGCCGCCGGGTACTTTCCACTTTAAATCGGTGGATGGCCGGATTCCAGATCTGGATTTTACGGTTAACGCCGCCGCCTACTGAAGAAACGGCGCCAGCTTTCCTCTTCCGGCCGCGGCTCTTTCGGTGGTCTCCGGCCATTGTCAATTTCTGATACAAAATGGCAACTAGGGTTGTGGCGGCGGCTCCTTAGCCATCGGCTTCGCCAACATCACCGGCTACTCCATCCTCTCCGGCCTCTCCTCCGGGATGGAACCCATCTGCGGCCAGGCCCACAGCGCCAAACAGTACAAGCTCCTCGGCCTTAACGTAGTGGAGAGGAAGAAAAATGGGAAAGATGAAGGCGGCGCGGGACGGCCTGAAGAGTTTTAGAAATTAGGTTTTGTTTAGTGGTGGTTGGGTCGTTTTTGTTGGTGGGTTGGGTCGGGTCTGGTTTGGTTAGAGGCAGTGCAGTCAAAATCGCGCTTTAAAGCGTAAAATCGTACGATTTTACATTTCAAATCACCAATAAAATCGTTAATTACTCAAAATCGTTCAAAAGCGTAGTAAAATCGGTAAAATCGGTAGAAACGGTTAAAAACTCGTTTTTATACCGCTTTTGTACGATTCCGAGCATAGGAGCAAAACAGTCTCCTTTCATCAAAACGACGTCGCTTTTGAATTTTGATTAAAAAAAAAAAAAGTTGCGGCTGCCAAAAGGGAGAAGGGTTACGCTGAACCCTAATTTTGTCGATCTCCAGCGCCGCACCACCCACCCTTCTCCTCATCTCCTCGGCCGCAGCTCGTCAGTCGTCACCTCACTCGGCCGCCGCTCGTCGCCTTCACGCGGCCGCCGCTCGTCGCCTCACTCGGCCGCCTCCAGTTGCCATCGGCCGCGGCCCGTCGCCCTTGTCAGTCGTCATCAACCGCCTGTCTCCCTCAGCCGCCGCCCGTAGCTCGACGTCGTCCACTCGTCCGTCGCAAGTCCATAGCGCCCCGTCGCCCGCCGCCGCCCTAACTCCGTCGTCCATAGCTCGTCGTCTTCACCCGCCGGTTGTCGTCTTCACAGTCAAAGGTTTTTCTCTTTTCTCGTTATTCCATTTGCAATCTAAAATGGAATTTTACCTATTCAAATTCAGAAACGTAAACACGATGGGGGCACTGATCTAGATGATATTCAGTTGTTCACAGTCACCATTTTATGCTCTTGCAGGACAAGAGCTCAAAAATTGATGAAATTGGTGCAATTAAAGTAGCAGGTTGAAAATTGATAGGCATTCTATTGTTCGTTGTTTTTGGAAGTGGTTATTTAGAGTTTGGGATAGAGGTTTGACTTCCAAGTTTTCATATTGTTGAGGTAAATCCCCTTTTCCCTTGCTCTTGGAACTGATATTGCCTTTCCAGTTTAGAATTGAAAGAATCAAGATGGTGAATTTAGCAACATCCTTAGCCATGAGTTCATACGACTTACTGCTTGCTCTCCTTATTGTGCAGGGTAATTATGTCGAGTGGGGGTACTAGTGCAAGCAATACTGTATCCAATTCTAGAGTGAAGAGAAAAAATGCACAGGGCAATCGTCTAGATCCCGGTTGGCAGCATGGTATAGATGTACTCGGTAATGGGCAGAAAGTGAGATGCAAGTATTGTGATAAGGAAGTATGTGGTATATCTCGCTTCAAACATCATCTTGCAGGAACAAGAAAGGACTCTATCGCTTGTGTTAGTGTTCCTGATGAAGTTAGAGCAAAAATGTTAGAGCTACTTGGTGCAACTGAAGAAGAGAAGGCGACTAAGGCAAGAAAGTTACATGATCTCGGTTTTAGTCGTGATGGAGAGGGTAGTGGAACTGCTAATGAAGCTAGTGGCAGTGGCACTGGAAAACAGAAAACAATAACTACAGTTTTGAAGAAAGAACTCTGGGAAAAGGCTTGCAAGTCGATATCAAAATGGTGGTATGAAAATGCTATTCAATTCAATGCAACTAGATGCGATAGCTATCACCAAATGTTGGAAGATATAGCTCGGCATGGTCCTGGTTTTAAGGGTCCTTCTTATCATGAGATTAAGGAGACTTTGCTGAAAGAGGAAATGCAGGAAGTGGAGAATAAATTGGGGATCTTCAAAGCTGAATGGAAGGCGGTGGGTTGCACAATAATGTCTGATGGATGGACAGATAAGAAACAACGAGTTCTATGTAACTTTTTGGTTAATAGTCCTCGTGGAACTGTATTTCTTAAAGCTGTTGACACTTCTGATTTTTCGAAGACTGCTCAAAAGGTGTTTGAGATGTTAGATGGAATTGTTGAGAAGGTTGGGGAAGAGAATGTTGTTCAAGTTGTGACAGATAATGCTTCAGCTTATAAGGCAGGAGGACAATTGTTGATGGAAAAAAGGAAGCATTTGTTTTGGACACCTTGTGCTGCTCATTGTTTGGATTTGATGCTAGAGGATCTTGCAAAGCATATTAAGGTGCACGAGACCACAATTTCCAATGGTAAGAAGATCACCAATTTCATTTATGCAAGAACAATGATGATTGCCATGATGAGGGAGTTCACTCAAGGGAGAGATTTGGTTAGACCTGCTGTTACAAGATTTGCTACATCCTATTTGACATTAGGATCTCTTAATGACAATAAGGGTTCCTTGATGACAATGTTTTCTTCTGAGAAGTGGAGGAAGAGTAGCTTTTCTAAGCTTCGTGAAGGAAAAAGAGTTCAAGGATTTGTACTTGATGGTAGATTTTGGAAAAATGTGACAAATTGTCTTAGAGCTGCTCAACCTCTTGTCAAGATTCTACGTTTGGTTGATTCTGATGAAAAACCGGCAATGCCCTTTTTATACTCTGAAATTCTCCAAGCGAAGGAGAAGATTAAAAGCAACTTCAACAATGTGGAAAGAAGGTGATTTCGAGTTTCCTTTTCCTATTAACTTATCATACAAACCTATATTTTTATTGTTCTAACTTCTAACTTCTAATTTGTTTATTCTCTATTGTATATACTTATATAGATACAAGCCTGTCTTGAAAGTCATTGACAAAAGGTGGGAAGATCAAATGAGTAGACCAATTCACTATGCTGCATATTGGTTGAATCCTCAAATTCACCATTCTCAAGGATTTAACCATAATGATCCAAAGGTGAAAATGGGATTGTATGAGTGCATATCTAGACTTGCAAAGAATGATGAAGAGAAGTTTTTGATAATGGAGCAGTTGTCTGTATTTCGTCATGCTCGTGGAATGTTTGATAAGTATGGTGCAATGTAATTAAAGGATAGGCAACATCCAGCTGATTGGTGGACCGGATTTGGAGATGAAGTGCCAGAGCTTCAAAAATTTGCTCTTCGGGTGTTGAGTTTGACTTGTAGTGCTTCTGGGTGCGAGCGTAATTGGAGTGCATTTGAGAGGGTAAGTAATAAATTGCCTCTATTTTCTTTTCATCATATCGTTCATTCTTTTTACATGTGAATATGTGGTGATGTGAACTCTTTTACTTGTAGATTCATACTAAGAAAAAGAACAATTTGCGTGCACAAAAAATGAATGATCTTGTGTATGTTATGTGCAACAACAAATTGGTGGGCGGGAATGCCAAGAAAGCAAGAAGGCTTGAGATCGACTTTGAGGATATAGACTCTGATAATGAATGGATTTGTGCTAGTGATAATGAAGAAGGAGAACCACAATCTACAGATTTAGAGGTTGGTGGTGAGGAAGGTGGTCATACTATTGAAGGTGGTGGTGATGCTATTGGTGTTGATGCTCGAAGAGATGAGGGGGATCAGGAATATAGTAGTCCACTTGATGTTGATGGCAATGGTGATGATGATGATAATGATGATGATTTGGATGCAAATGTGGAAGCCGATGAATTGATGTAGTTTTCCTTTTATCATTTATAACATTTGTGTGCTTTGATTGTGAGGACTTGGATTATTAAACGCATATGTCATTATGTAAACTTAAACCAGCTTGTGAGGATTTGGATTCTTAACTCGTTTGTGGGTTATGATTTATGTTTATGAACTAATTGTTATGATGTTATGAGTTTGTTCTAATTTAGACATGAATTGCAGGTATTTTTTCTTTTATCTAAACTCTGTGAACTCATATTTTACATAGTTTATGCCGTACTTAACATTATTTTAACTATTATACAGGATGCATAAAAAACTTACGCTTTTACGCTTTGATTCACCGCTTTTCGATTTTACCCCTTTTCCGCTTTTAGGTAGAATCGCGCTTTTAACTGCATTGGTTAGAGGTTTGGTTAGGTTTAGCTGATATGGAGGGTTTAAATGACGTGGCGGGTCGGGTCAGTCAATTTTAGGGTCAAAAGTTGCTGATTAGGTGAATCCGTCAGCCACGTCATCACTTAACGGACGCCGTTAACGGCGTTGGACGGCAGCTAACGGAGAGTGACCATAAGTGAACGGGTTTTGTAAAGTTAGTGACCAAAAGTGGATTTAAATATTTCTAGTGACCAAACATGAACGTTTTTGGTAATCTCAGTGACCAACCATGCAATTAACCCCACTAATATGTAGAGTAACATCCATGTATGATATGATTGCTCTTGCTGTGCATCAGATGGATGTTAAACCTGTTTTTGTGAATGGTGATTTAGATAGAGAAATGAGAAATCTTCATGGGATAACCTAGAGGGTTGTTATTCCTGAACATGCTTATGGAGTCTATAGTTAGACAAATCATTGTAGGATTTGAAATAGACTCACAAACAGTGGCATGAACAATCGAGTTCTCTCTCATGGTTTTAAAATAAAAGTGACAAGTGCATTTAGTACAAATTTGAGAATGACACTTGCATTGATGTCAATATTATGAAAAACCATGTTGCTTGAGAATTATGAAGGTAAAAAGATCTGGATGAAGCAAGTGTTATGCTCGGAGATCCAGATTACTAGGACAATGAAAGAGATTTCATCTAGATCAGTTTAACTACAAAGTTAGATCTAGAGGAAATA